AAAAAAAAAAAAAAAAAAACACGAAATGACAGCAGATGTGAAGGTGCAGACTGAGCCGTATCCAAGGCGCTGCATCCATCGATGATTGCTGTTGCCTGAAGCGCTCAGAACGGGAATGGAAAATAGGCAGCTGCAAGAGCTATGCCTACCGATAGCATAGGTTTAGAGATATTGGCTTCTGCAACGCGCCGAGAGCCTAGAGTGGTCCATGTTCAACCTGAAGTCCTGCACTCCTACGGACTGACGCAAGCCAACCGCAAGAAGGCCAGCAAACACGACGAGAAGAGGGTTTAGGGTTTAGGGATTATAGGCTTTAGGGGTTTAGGGGTTTTAGGGTTATAGGGCTTTGAGGGTTTAGGGCCCTAAGCCCTTCGGAGGGTCTTGGACAGGACACCCACTGTGCAGCTGTCGTCAGCGAAGGATCCAGAGGCTCCGGAGGCGAACATTGCAGCTCAAAGTCCTGAACTGTCTCCACACCTGGCGAATGTCGGGTTTAGGGTTTAGGGTTGCTTACGGCATGCCTCCCTGGCAAATGCAGGATTTCGTGCTTGGATATTTTCCTTACCGTAAGGTCCATACCCCAAGTGCTCAGCAATCCCTACCAGCAATCCAAAGGGCACACGCGGCTGTGCCGCGAGACCAGACAGCGTTTTGATGACGTATTCCACTGCACGTTGCTTCACTTCAAGCCTTGTTGAACGCATGATAAGAATTGACCTGCCTTTGTTGGCAGTTTCAACACCTGTCAATGTCCACCGAAAAAGAAAAACACACTGCACAAAATAATTGTTGATTTCCCAACTCTTAGCAGCTCATGCAACAACGTGTGCTCAACAACAACACTGCTGCTCCCGTGCCTGCTGAGTTGCGCAACTTGACACCACCAGCGACTTGACTGGATGGCGCAGCACGTGATCCGAAATACAGGGTCACCTGCTGTGTGAGGGAGATCATTGAGACCACGAGGTAGGTGTATGATCAAACACACAAGACCTCAACAAGAGTTCATGGTTTAGGCTTGTTCTAGGTTCTGTGCCTTGCTGCCTGCGACTCACGCTAGGATAAACAAGAACCGAAAGGCGCACTGAGATTAACTTCACGTCGATGCGCGGATGACACCTTTCAGCCGCTCGAGAACAGCCTGTGTATACAGCGATACCGGATTTCGCTATGGGAAAAAGCAGATTGGATAGCGGCGGCTCTGGTGTTTCTATGCATGTCATACACGTTATACTTTTCCGTATGCACACTAGCAGAATTGCGTAGGCCCAGGCCTAATTCAGCTTCAAGTCTAGTGCTGAGACATGTTGGCAATTTGGCAAGAACAAGTCTTAAACTGTTCGCACCAAAACCCACAACAGCAAATTGGATGCTTCCAAGCGGCTCGACCAGGAATTGTCGGAGAGATGCCTGTACAGATCAACCTGAGCTTCCAAACTGGAAAGTTGGCCGCTGGGCACCAAAACTCCATGGTTCAAACACCTCCTTCCCTCACGTAATCTGTTTGTAGCCCATACCGTTCAGAGCAACATCAGACATGCCACCTGGCGGACAAAATGGTCCTGCTTGAAAAAAGCTCAACAATCCACAACTTTACCTTATGCCTTGAAGACCTGGTGTCCGAACCTTTCCGACGTGTTCAAACTGCCCCGATCCTGGTTTTGGCTGGCATCCTTGCATCCAGGCACGAAAGCTGGGCGTGCAACTCCCCCAGCTGCACAATGAGAAGGAACGCGTGGAACGTGGGAATTCCCATGGTATGCGGCGATCAACGAGCTTGGAACATCACTTACCCATGAGAATCATGAGACGGCCTCAAGTTCCTGCCAGGATCTGTGTCGAAGAACTCATTCGCAAAACACAATTGCCAAAACATCTTGTTTCGGCTTCATCACACTTGTCTTGTACCATCTTGTACCTGTAAACCTGAGGCAACAGCAACATGTGCAGAAAGACTTTCAAAACTACTGGAAACAAATGTGGAGATCAATGAATGCCTTTCTTTCGATTGAATCGTACCGCTCCGGTCGACTACTCTTACTCCCAACGAAGTCAGCAGTACAAAAACAGAAAGGAACGCTGTGGGGTCCCNNACACACACACACAAAAAAAAAACATCTGGCGGGTTTATTTGCTTCCACTTTCACTCCAAAAAAATGCAGTGGCGCACTTCTGCAGACAAATCCAAACCCTCCTAGTCATTCGTAAGATTTTCGCAGTGGGTTGCCCACTAGAATCCAATGTAGTTTCCAAAAGATGTTCCTGCAATACGTTTTTTTGGAACAGTAATTCTATTTCCACCGCGTGCAGAAATGCTTCTGCCAGTTTCAGAGCAGAGTGATAAACAGTGTCTATGGACTCCACGCCTTCAAGCGAAGGAGTTTAAGCCTTTCCTTCAAGTCTTCTTTGAGGGAAACTCTTAAGCTCTCTTCTAAGTCTCTCTTCAAGAGTCTTCGAAGTGCTTGTTGTCGGACACCTTTAGTGTCACGGACGGGTGTGCTGGGATGTAGGCAGTCCAAATCTCCGCCATTCCAACAACCAGCGGGTATAAGAATGCCCACGCAACAACTCTTTTCATCACTGCCGTCTTTGCATGCGATCTTTTTCGTGCTTTCCAACGGCCTGCTTACTGCCAAATGTGGTGTAGCAACACTTGTGAGCAGTCTGTCTGACGTCGAAGAACTAACCTCTCTTTACAATTTAAGGTCGCAACACCTTAGAAAACTCAACAAGTGAAGAACGGAAGACCACAAAGGGTCCAACATGCTTACAAACGTAAGACTGCGTGTGGAGGTCGCAGAAACGCAATGTAGGGCGACTGTAGGGCACAGAAACAGACAGTTGAAGTTATTGTGCAGACAAGTTATTAAGAAGAACAAAGTGAAGGTTCGCAAGTGCAACCTCCAACCTTCCTGTCTTTGAAAAACATCAAGGTGTTCTTAGTCTTTTGCACACTCAAAAGAAAGGCAACACTGGACGACAACACAAGCTTCTTCTTCAAAAAAGAATGAATTTAATGGGCAATCGGTTGGCTTTGAAGACTTGAATCCATCCAACTGATGTTTGTCTTTAGAGCCATGGCCAAAAGTTAGCTTACTTTTAGAGATTTGCGAACTCAGAATTTAAGAAGGTTTTGGAGAGGCGCTCATTTCCAGACCTGAAACCCTTTCTGAGTGTTTGCCACAAGATTTTGAGGCAGCCGTCGCTTTTGTTTGCCCAAGCGCTGCAACATGGCAGAAAAAAAGGCCCTGCAAACTCGCAATCTAATCCAAGCGCTGCAATTAAATTTTACAAGCAGCGGCACCTAGTGGTCGCCTAGCTCAGGCACTATAAGTTTACCCGGTGTCTCGAGGACACTTGGCCCCTAGCACTGGTAGCCAGTGCAAAAAAAAGCGCATGCCCACGAATGCCTAAGCGACATACGCACAGTAACTAGAACTAGAACAACCAAAGTGTTAACTAAACTAAAGTAGGCAAGGCAACGAAAAGCCGAGTGTCAGAGACGCAGAAAGCTCCATGATTCTCACAAGTCCAAAAGGCACACTGGATAGAAGTCCCTCCAAACTGAGTGGTAGGAGTCTTCTAAAGCAGCGGCAGCTAGCAATTCCCGCATTTTTTTTACCGAATAGGTTGCCAGTAAAGCAAACGCTGGAAGCTGTCTCTTGGCAAATACATCAAGAACACAAGTCATGCTCTTATGCGGATCTGGCGTCCAAGAGCACTTCGATTTTCGCGAACGGAGCGACCGTTTCTTGGGCAATGTAGTTTGGCATTCCAACTAAAGCCAGTTGCTATTGTTTTAAACACGTTCTGCGTTACCAATGCAGTAGCAACGGATTCAAAAGGTCGCTGCCGTACGAATTCCTGGAATCTCCGCAGATTGGAACATCTGTCAGCAGAAAAGATCGGAGAAGTATTTATGGACATGTTTGCCATTCAAAGCTTTTTCCTGTGACCCCAGAGTGTTCCGCCGACGCCTCTTGTTACGCCTCTTGAACACCGTGCCCGGATTCTAGCATGGATGACCACTTTGATCGCCAGGCGACCTCAAGAAAATGAGTTGCGGCTTGTCTTTTACAATTTGGTGGAGATGTTCATTTCTAGGCGTCTTATCAGCCTCATTTTCAGCAACCTCTCGTGGAAGGAACGCAGAGCAGTTAGCCTTTGCAATTTATCGGCATCCACCCGCTCTGATTTCCTATGGGACCTCA